ATTATCTAAAATGTTAAAGAAACTCGAGAATAAATAATTTAATTTTTTGATTTTGCTTTTGCTTTTGCTATGAATATCCTAGAATTAAAATTATTATATTCAGTTAATTAGTTAAATGAGTATTAATTTACTAAACGTGACATACTGACATATATAGTAAGGCACTAGTAATTAAATAATAACATATTTTTGATTCGACGCTTTTATAGGACGAGTACGCGGGTGAATCGACTCTTGCGCGTTAACATATTATACGATATAAGTACATATATAATATATATACTATGCATACAATGTTATATTATATTATAAACCTACACAAATAATAATTATAAATCATATCTGACATACATTCCTTCAAATACAAAATCATATCCGATGAGTTTCTCTTTCGGAAACGCGTCCTCCGCGCAGGTCGGTGTTAAAGCGTGTTGACCGAGACTCGAACATCGATACGCCGAGGCGACCTTGACGATTTGACTATAAGTAAATGTTATATTGTAGTACGATGTCGTCGTCGTAGTCACAGAAGTATGCTAAAAACGGTTCATAGTTTAGATAAACCGTAAAAATTAATACCTAAGTATCTATCCAYGAAGTCAAATCCGATAGGCAGATGAATAACTTTGGTGTATGTAATCGCGCCTTTCTTTCTCGTGAGCAATTATCACATGTTATGTAAATTTTGTTCCGAATATTTTGATATGGACAAGTCACGTCTATTTCAATGTTATACGATAGCGTTGAGTATTAGCTTCGTATAGGTAAAACATGTAGGCACTAGACAGGCAAGTTTTTTCTCAGTATGATTATGATTGAGTTACGATCAAAATTCAACTTTAAATAGTCAAAAACATATTAATAACCGTTTAATGTTTAGCATCAAATATGTGGAAGAGGTATAAAAATAAAGTAATCTGTAAAGCAACGTTCAAGTATTTTTTAGTTAAAAAGGTCTAYGAACTGAATAATGTCCAAATTGTRGTTAATATACACTTAATAAATTATAATACCTAATAAAAATAATTGATTGAACGGAACACAAAATATCTACGATATTGGAAAAAGTATTTTTTAACTTACCAATTTGTTCAAGATTTAGCCGATATATTATGTACTACTGCTGATCAACTACGTATATCGTTTACGARAACAATCGATTCAAACATTACCAAAGCCCGTGGTATTTTCTGTAGTAATATGATACGTTGTGGACATTTTCAGATTCTTTTCCGCTGCAGATGGGTAAATAAGATTTTGAAGAAAACAATTAAGCTCACACTCTTTAATGAGCTCGTTGCAACATCGCGGTAGCAGCAGTAGGTAGGCTTTTTGTAGTAAAGTTTTGGTGTAGGAACTCCTCAACTTTWGATTTTGTTGTCGTCAGAAAAAGACTCACAGGACGTTTACGCCAACTAGGTTGTCTCTTATAGTAATAATTGAGGTTAAAATTTCTGCCAACTCTTATTGTGCGTTTTTCTCTTTTCGTTGTTATTATTATTATTATTATTATCATTACTATTTTGTTGTTGTTATTATTATTATTATTATTACGACAAGGAGGAATTCATACACCGGTCACTTTGGTCACGTACAAAACCAAAAACTGGTTCCACACACGCACGCACATACGTCAGCTCATCCGTGAGCTCTCTCTCTCCTTTGTGTCCTTTTRGAGAGCGTTGACGACGACTGCCGCCACGGCGATGGCGTTCAGTCGGCCGAAATATATTTAATTAATAACAAYAATAATGACGATTTTCCAGTTCGCGCTCGCTCGCGTAACCAATAACGTGCAACCGAAGAAAAAAATYAAATACGAAAATCACACAAACGGTTGTCCGGACCGAGACAACGTCTTGAAARCACGTATACGTGCCTATCGTTATATTATTTTGTTTTTCTGTTCAACCTCCATAGTTTCTACTATTTTCTATCATCAGATTCACAATAATAACAATGAAAAATCTGAAATTATGTTATTGATTTTTTAAAACGATTAATATTTTCGAACCGTTTGTTTTCGCATCAATGCGAACACGTCGAATTGGCGCCAACTATCCAAATAAATCAGTCGTTTGAATGCTACAAACATGTGTCGAAGATAATTCACATCGCAAATATTATTTTAAAATTATAATATTTAATCCTCTATTCTCTAATAATTAATTAATATAGTTAACAATTATTACTACAAGTACCACAATAGCTTACTTAAAGGTTGTAGTTATTATTATGAATTATGTATTTCATATTGCGTTATCTTATACAAAGAATTATATTATACATATATATATATATATATATAATATATAATATAGTTAAAATTCTGATCTTTAGAATTTTTAAGCGTGTACATTGTACGTCCTAAAACTCATATAATTAAATTATTAATTTTATTAAATTAATTTTTTTTATTCAATCATTTAGATTATTTTCAATAATAAAAAAAATTTAAGAAATGTCATATAAGCTGGGGAGTTGCTTGTTAAGTCACTRTAGGTATTGTTTTACCTGCAACTATTAAACTTCAGCTGCTTTAGCTTTTTATTATATAATTTCACTGAAAAATAAATCTCGTACCAAATACGTAATAATGTACACATGCGTCGTGTATACGACACGTAAACATAACATTTTAGAAACTTTAATCGAATTACTCATAAAATATTTACTTTTACTTGAACGCATTCATTTTTTGCCAGATCATAATAATATGTATTATTTTGGAAATAGGGKTTTTTTTAGAAATTTTGTTTTGTATAATATTGTATATTTTTATCTCCCGCGTTTTGTTCATCATACGCGTTTATCTACATGGATCATTCAAATTGTTGACCACATGAGACATGACTGTGTTTACGTTTAATATCGATACAAAACGATCGATAGCTTAACGACACAATRCAACGTTTAGTAAAACACACGACTTGACATATTATTCTTCCGTATTTATAAACTTACTGTCGTGCGGTTTTTTTTAACAAACCGTTTAACGGCGTCACTATGTACACAAYGTACCATGGTATAACGCAACCAGCGTAATCGTGTCTCGCCTATTACTGCCTAATAATACTATATTGTTATATATACGTATTATGATCGTCGTGAGTTTTGGCTTAAACGTCATCTGTACATCTGTTTARTATCTAAACGCGCCAATATTTATGTAGGTATCTACCTGCAGCAAACGAAGAAAAGGTCTTGGGACTGTAGTTGTCTATGTATTACGAACCATAAATGACACAAATTCGTCTACACGTTGTGCTATATTATTATATTGTTATTTGTTAATATTGTAAAAGTTTCTGCTAAATACAAAACGGCTCGTTATCCTCCAGTCTTCAAACAATACAAAAACAACATGTCCGAAATATCATGTCTCGTTGTAATATAATAAATGATGATAATATATAAATATACAATAATGTATTAGGTATATTATTCGGTATCCACAACTTTCAGCAACTGTGTGTAGCGCACGGTCTTTTTGAGAGAAATAAAAATAAAAATGTTTTCATCTTCGGTACAATATTAGGTCACCAAAACAACCTACTAAAACCGGATTTTTAATATCTAATAATATAATATAAGCACGATGAGGAGCACTGTGCAGGTACACTATAATCACGTATACGAGTATTATACCTATGTTTTATCCGTAGATACATGAAAACACATATTTTCTTCTTGCACAAAATTCGTGCTATTCAAATTTAATTATTAATTAACTTAATCAATTGGAAGATTTATGATTTCGAGCACAGTATAAGTTATTAGACATGGTTTAATATCCACAAAGATGTAACGGAACATTAAGTTATACTTTAATATTTAATGTTTTACCGTTAAATTTAATAAAACTATTAAGGGCGCTCTCAAATCGCTTATCATAGACTCTTATTACAATATAAACAATCGATAGTACCTATATGTATAACAATAGTAATAATATATAAGCAAATATTTCATTGTAATAGACAGTTTTACTAATCTTGGTCTTCCCCGAGGTTAAACTAAAACTCAAAAGCTTAGAAAGAATTGATGACGTGTTTTGATTATTCATAGATGACTACTGACATTTTTATTTTTATTTCTCCTGCTGMGGGCTATTTTTACGGTCATCGGGTTGACTTAAATATATTTTAACGAATCTTATTGTAACGAACGGAAATCGCAATAATWTTTTAAAACTGGGCCGCGAGGTACATAACGAAAAAATTATTTAACRAAYATATCATGTGAACCGGATTCGCTAACAATCGTGACATGCGTATTTCAATGTCAACAAAATCATAATMTTTTACGTACATTTAAGTGCATTGAAGTAAAAATCAAATKTTTTCATRMTCAGAATCATCTAAGCAGTAAGCTTCAACTTTTTATAAGTTTTTTAAAATAATWTAATTTTTATATCAAACAYTGCCTCACGTCTAACCCTTACAGTAATAATATAATTTCGTCAACTATATTTTTTGTACTTTTTTAAAATAAATTATACTATCATTCGTCAAACTGTACATAAATATATCATAATCCTCAACGTATTCTTCTCAATTTGGCGTTTACTGCCATGAGCCCATGACATAGCTTTAGTTCTAACAGCAGTCCGATTATGCACGCTATAAGTGTATAATATATTCATAGACAACCTACAATATACACCTATAACGAATACCAATATTATATTATATTTGTGCGAAACCTAATATTTAATATATAATATAATTTGTGGACCTAATATTCCTCGATCTTCGAATTATTCAAYAAAAATCCATATTTTCAGTCAATAATTTATTAGCAAAAAAATTGTTTTGATATCACGATCAATAATGAGACGAAAACAGTCGTGCACACCTATATAGTATATATGCACGACAAACGCGGTTTTTTTTACCAACCAAGTATTTATAACATCAGGGATAAAAAATGTCATAAGCTTTGTGACTAGATTGACAGTAAGGCATATTTTAAGATAGAATAAAATTATTATTAGTTACTTATTGTTGCTGCTGCTGCCGTAACTTGCAGTGATTGCATTCACATTGTTATCCGGTGGATACGTCCAAATACTCTGGTAACCCGTTTCCGAACCCGAAGTATCGGCGGCTCCAGCTGTGTCATAACCTATACCGATGTTCGGTTGTTGTTGGTCTTTAAATTCAAAGTCACTCAATCCATCCGAACCAGCGCTGGGCCCAAAGTGTGATGAACTTGACGCAAAGTTTGACACGCCTGCAACAAATAATCGAATTATAATAACATGTTACTTATTAATAAAGTTTCTAGAAGATCGGGGTTTATTAATCGAAGTACGAGTGATTTTATAAATATTATGACTTTGAAAACTTCCAGATCTCCAAATTGTTCTACTTGTATCAATCAAATATCGAATTTCTCCAAAATTACTGTCAATAGGTAGTTTTAGTATATAGATAAGCACTGTACAAGGAAAATAAATTGGAATAACCTTTCGGTTTTATTAACAATTTGTCATATCAAAATCATACATATTTTTTCCACAGAGTTTTTTCTTTCATTAGGTAGCAATATTATATTTTCTGGATTTTTTGACTATTTAATATCTTTCCAATAAAGTTAAAGCATGATTCGTTGTTATAGAAACTTTAATGTACCGAAATTGAATGATGAGTTATAATTTTTATTTCCATYAAATTGGTAAAATGTAAAATATTATAAGTCCATAAATTATCTCGCGAGTATAAAAATTTTAAAAATCAATAAAACCCTTAAATAATTAATATATTTTTTTATTTTTTTTAGATTCTGAACGAAGAGATGAATGTATTGATTTTACAATGATGTGTGTGTGTTGGTTTTTTTGTGTGTGTGTCTGTGTACAGCATAACTAGTCGAAATAATGCTTCAATTTCAAACTTTGGGGGTGGTTTCTGATGTAAAAAAAGAATATCCTTATAGAGGTCAATAAATAACATTTTCCAACAGTTTTCAAAAAAATCGAGAAAAACAAAAAAAAAAAATGACAGAAAAACAGGAATTTTTACGCAAAACCAGTTTTCGACCAAATCGATTTTTTATATGGTTATTGTAATTCAAAAACTAATCACTGTAAATACTTGAAATTTCCACCAAATGTTTATGTTAGTGTCATATATTGTTAAATTTTCAAAAAATGTTGACTTTTTTTGAGTTATTTATAGACCACTGAAATTTTCGATTTTTATGAGAATTTTTTTTTTAACTATCGGTTAAAAAATTTTGGATCACCAAAAAAACTTGAAAACTTAATACAAGGTTCTTTATGAGTTGTWCTTATTGTAGCTAAAAAAAGCAAAAAATCGTTAGTCACAATTTTTTTTATAAGCGGTTATAGTTCATATTTTTACGAAATCTATCGAAAACGCGAAAATTTGCGAGCAATTTTAAAGTTGAAAAATCATAAATTTTTTTGTGTTTATAACTAAGGATTCAAAATACAACACTAAGTATTCCATAAGTTTTTCTTCAAGTAGCTATAGAGAAAACTCGAAGCATCCTTACCTATAGGAAAAATTTTAAGTGCGTTTTAATTTCAAATTTTTACGAAATAGCGTAACGATAACGATTTATCCTCAAACGATTTTAAATATTTGTTATTATTCAAAAAGTATAATATGTCGTAGATACTTGAAAATTTTACCAGTTATTTAGAYTGGCATTTTCTTTACATGAATTAATTTTCAAAATATTTTGACTTTTTTTGAGAAATTTAAAGCCGACTGAAATTTTCAATTTTTCTGAAAATTATTTTTTGAAGTGTCAATAAAATTTTTTTGGCCCTATCAAAAT